CGTAGACCTACATACCGACCTGAGGTCTGTCCTAACTTCAGGATGCATCTTCTCAGAATGGCTTCCTATCCAGAAATGTCTGTCCACAATTTAACCCCAAGATTATTTGCATTTTTAAAGGCTATTTTGTAATTCAATTGAGAGCATCAGAGCGTGTATGAAAAGTCACCTGCTTTCTAATGATGATGATCTTATCACTTTGGAACAGATACTTGGCATCTCTCAGAACAGTTAAGAACAATTGAAAACCTCTGTATTTGTCTAAGAAATATGCCTCGTTAGGAGTCAAGAGTGCTCATTCTTCCAGCTTTTCCTTTACTAAATCAATTTAAAACTTCATTTTTAGCATTCCATAAATCTCATTTTCAGCACTGTAATTTCTTACTGTGCTGCACTGTTTCAGTCATCTTTTCATGTAACAACATTTCACAGAGCCTATGTCATGCAGAAATATATCTTCCTGTTTTGAGGCCTCAGTGGGTCAGAGTATCATTATCAAACACCACAGCCAATAATTTCTGAAATCCTGGAATTTGTGCACTGTGTACACCAGGTAAGAATGAAGAATGTCAAAATCTCAGCCGTAACGATCAGATTTCCCCACTTGTCTACTGAAGTCAGTCTTCCCTTGGGTTTCTTTGTAGCTCATTAAACAAAACAAAAAGGGGCTTACACAGAAAGAAAAAGTTTGACATGATCAACTGGCTTTGCTGGTAATGTGTGCAATCCACCCAGATGTCTAGACGGTTTGAAAAATACAGATGGCATTCAGAGGTTACAGCTGTTACTCCTCAAGTCTCCCTCTTGTTGGACCTCAAATTAAGTAGGAACAGACCCTATCAAAGCTAGGTGGTCCAATTCCAAAGGAAACATCTCGTGTGTGGCAGGAAATTAAGTTATTGATTCAGTAGGCAGCACTTCACCTTTCAGATCAATGAACCACCTGGTCAGTCTACAAGGAAGTCCTGCACACCCAAGGTGCCTGCTTTGGGAAAAGGTAGCAAACAAATTGGTCAGAGCTTCAACTGTGGGAAACCTGCAGTATTTTTTTGTAAGCGGAAAAAGAAAAGTAACACCTGCATCCTGGCCTGATGCCATCTTAGGCAGGTGTTCCTTGCCTGCTCTTCTTACTTGCCCTGTGTAGTAGGAAGTTGCAAGGTATGTTTTCTTATGCAGGCTTCAGTCAGTACTATTCTGCTAGATCCTTCTAAATAACAGTTAGTGGCTCTGCAAGAGGTAGTGAGGTGAAACGTGGATAGATGCATGTAAGAATAGGTATTTTGGAACTCCCAGGACAGCCAAGAAGGTCATCCAGAAGTAGCATCTCTTTCTTGGCCTGTGCCCCCCAGTACCATCTTACCACGAGGCTTCCCTGGGACACGAGCTGCTGACTGCGGAGCATTCATACAAGATGTGAAAACACAGCACAAGGCACCTGAGAAGCCCCCTGATTCCTATGAGATGCAAGTCTGAGCAAAGTGAAAAACCACAGATTAAATGCATTCTGTGCCTTAAGACACTGTATTTGTGTGAGGCTTTGGAGGAATGTGTGAGTGGAACAGCAGCACAGACATTTGCAGGCACATTGCATTGCTCCCAGCCAAGTGGCTTTACACAAACTGTAACTGGCTGGGATGCTGCTGGAACTGGGTGAGCACAGGGAAACAGGAAGGCATCCCTGCTGGGCTGGGACATCTCCTGCTTGACTCGAGTGTATTATAATTATGAAAAAATACCGAGGCATTTGATCTGCTTCGTTGCTTTTGGGAATCTGTTGCTCACTTCACTTACAGAGGGAAAGTTTTGCTGCTCAGCTAAGTTACAGTAACCCAAAAGGCAGCCCGAGCCATGAAGAAAGTGCAGCTGGTCAGTGTTGTATAGCACGGTCTGAATACAAATAGGGTTGTTTGTGCAGGCCACGGCTGCTTTTTTTAAGAGACTGCAAACCACCTTAACTTTTATACACTGCGGCAACATGTGAGCGAAGGAATGTGGCTGGTCTGTGCTAGTCCCAGAAAAGGTCCCAGATGAGGCCAGCAGATTGGGCAGCAGACGTGCAATACGGAGCCTATGAATAAAACACACAGACTTGTACCTTCCCTGTGCTACGTGTGGATGTGAGCAGTGCGACGGGCAGGAAACCGGCACCGAGATGCCACAGGAACAGAATGCACAAGGGCAGCATGAACAGCCGATGGGAAGAGCAATGCTAAGCAGTAAGCAAGCTGTAAAACACAAGTCAGACAAAACATCTGGCAGCCGCTTCAAATAGTTCTCTGTCTGAAGGGCAGACAAGCCTGCAATAATCTCAAATCAAAACACGTGCAAGGATAGGATCAATGCTCAGTGTGCTTTGTGCAAGAATTGAATGAGTTTTGTTTCCTTCAGGACTGCTTCATACGCCAAGAAAGGCTGTGCTTTGGGTTAGGTTTTTAATTTTAATCAACTTTACTAAATAAATCACTATGTATTTCCCTCTCCAGTCAACTGCAACATGGTTGTTGGCAGAAGATCAACAGCATTAGCTCTGCATAGGAAGTACATGGGAGAGTCATGCTAGCAAGTTTGTCATGATTGTATTAACTTCTTCAGGCAAGAAAGTGCAACTGTGATGTTAAAAAAAAAAAATGCATAATGCAAATGCTTCTAGTTTGTACATCTCAGGCACAGGGAACAGGAAGACTGTCTGGAAGAGATTGGGTAGGAATGTGACAGGTAGAGCCTGATAGCTGGGCTCTGTTCAGGAGATTGCTTGAGCTCAGAGAAATCGTTTCATTAGCAATGTGCGTCAGCGCTGCAGATAAAGGAGAAAATCAGCAACTGTCCTTCCCCTCCTCACAATTTTGTTTTGTTTACGTTGTCATAGCTTTGGCCAAGACCTACAGCAGGAATGCTTACTGGCACTGATGTGCTACATGCTAACCTGCACCCAAGAACAGCTTTATTTTTAAAAGGAATTTTGACATGACTGCTACAGTACTGGCATACTTCCTTATCAGCTACTGAAGGCATCCAGAGAAAGCTTCCTCTTCACACTTCTAAACTCAACTTTTACCAAAGCATCAGCTTGAACAAAAGCTATGCTCCTGCTTACCCATGGCAGCAACACGACAGCCAGATTCTCTGCAGGATTGTCACAGTTCTCCTGCATCACCAGCAAGGCAACAGCAATCAAACTACTAAAGCCAGAAACCTCCTATAAAACATGAAGCTAAGTTCCACATGCACAAATATGGTTAGCCAGCAACAGCAAAGGGATAAGAGATGCCGGCCAGTGGAAGAGCATTAGTTTTCAAGGAGGCTCTAGTCAGTACAACCAGGACTTGTAATTTTTGATGTTGCTCATACAAAGGAGCAGGCCTGCCTGCCACATGCAGGCAATAGGAGGGGAAGCAGAAAGCCACTGATTCATTAGGATTTGCTAATCTGTGATATCATTTGTTGATTCCAGCAGGCCCAATCCCCATCTCATGACTTCCTCCGCTGTCACCATGGCGCTGTACATAAACATTGCGAACTCCCAGCCTGGAGCAGGTCATTTATTTCAAATATTCCATGCAGTTGGAACACAAGCCTGTTTGGGTGTCTGGAGCCGAGCATGAACTAATTTCTCAGTCTTCTGCACTTGCCCCACCTTACGGGCCCTCCCCAGCCTGCTGCGCTCCCAGCAACCCTCCAAGTCACACTTTAGCAAAGCAGAGGCAGCCTTACCCTGAAGCTGGCAAGAAACATGTTTCACTCAGGTCACCCACTACCCACAGCAGAACAAAACAGCAATTATTCAGCATGCTGGCTACTTAACTTAGGATCCACAAACAATTGTCTTCTATGAATGGGAAAAACAAACAAGATGAAGACTTCCAAAATCCAAAAAATTATTGCCATGATTGGAGATGGATAAGAAACAACTTTTTCTTTCTTTTTTTTTTTTTTTTTTTTAAAAAAAAGAAAAAATCTCTCACCCAGTACCCTTATAAGGAAGTTCACGAGCATACCTCTGAGCTTTAGTTGAGCCTCACATTTTGTAGTGTTTATGTGAACTGATGAAATCATTTGCTTTTCACACGCAAGTTAGTAGCTGCAGGCAAGATGGAAAAGTATGAGGACAGGAGGCAGAAATAAAACCTTTGTCATAACTGATGTTATGTTCAAAGCCATCTCAGCTCTGGTCTGGCTGGAGCTGCTGATAGAATTTGAGAGCACCCATATACTGCTCAGATTGAAAGTGGAAGCCATTGAATACCATAGTAGCAAGCAAGAGACAGTTTCTGCTCCAGAAACAGTATAATCCACAACACTTCACAGCCCAGGAATGAAGCCTCCTGTGCAAACAGATCTGTCGAAATTGACCACAACTTACAGCAGTGGGTAGGGAATGACTCAGGTGACTTGAGTTAAATCAAGCTGGTAAGCTGAGAGTATCCAGAATGCACTGAAGTCAGACTTCTTGAGTGCATGTGATCCAGTGCCAGCTCCCACCACTTGGCTTGACCCACCACAGCACTTCCACTAGTTGGCATGCTGTGCTACTGGCTTGAGGATCCGTTTTATTTTACTTTCTTTTGTTCACTGTCTCCCCTCCTAAGATGGAAAGGAGCAGTCAGGTGGCAAACTGAAGCGGTAGGTTAGAGCCTTGGTTCCACATGAGCCTCTCTCCTGGAAGAAAAATAATGGTTGTCTGCTGCAATAGAGGAATAAAGCTTGACAAGATAACTGGAGCCCCAGTCTATTGAATCCACTCAAATAGGAGTGGAGTAATGAGTCATGAATTTTCTTCAGCTCCACCTTGAATAGCTGTCTTTAGGCACTAGCAGCAGACTCATAATCTCAGGTTCCCACTGCCTACCTTAGCTGCACCTTGCCATCCATGTCACTTTTACGTGCCAGCTTTGAGATGTTCTTCCTGTTGGGGTTGGGTTCTTAGTAGGAAGCTCACCATTCACACAGACGCTAGGGGTAGAAAACACTGAGCGCTTCATACAAATAAATGTATCATCAAGCAATATTTAATAAAGTTTATTAGGTTATTGAGTATTATCTACAGCCATAAAATAGGATGTGAGAGTTTAAAACTGTACAAAATGTAATGGAGAAGTGAGAAGAGATGGAGACAAAGGAGCGTAAGAGTATTAGAAGTGGGGAGAACACAGCTGCTTCCCAGCAGTTAGGGAAGACACTGGTTCAGGCTGAAGGCAACCATGTAGAGTTCCATACACACTGTATTTTATTGTGCAATTTGTGTCCCACCCTGCAACAGAAACTAGTACAAACCCTATGTTAAAAAAAATCATAAAATATTAGTTTTAAAAAAGAAAGGGGCATATCACACCCCACCCAGTCTTGGCACCAATTCTGTGCTTTAAAAATATACTATGCAAGTAGTTTAATTTTAAAAAGGTACCCTACAGCAGCTGTTTAAAACATGTTCTTATACATACACCACAAATATATATATTAACATTTTCAACAACTAAACTCATTTGTACCTACACAGAACTGAGGGAATAACTCAAGAGCAAAAAAAAAAAAACCAACCATACAAACATTTTTTCAAGACAAAGAAATGTGCAAAATAACCTCAGAAAGGCAGCATAGTAACCTGCGGAGAGGTCAAGAGAGCAGCTCCTGCTAGTAAAGGAGTGTCATCCTCTCTTTACCTGGCTACTGAGGCAAGAATCTATTTGGGATGTGCTGATTTTGCCTGAATTGCTAGTCCTGTTTATTGAAGATCTCCCCTGCCAAACCCCAGCTCTGGGGAGGTTCTCTTCTTGCTGAAGATCACCCCACTGAAGTCTCACATGTTACATTCTGCAGCCACTTTCTGCATTCCTGGTCTTCCTATGGCACTACTGTAGTCACGTTGCTACCGCCTTCTCTGGGATGACTTCCCCAACCCCAAGCAAGAAACAGAACTATTCCTGCTGCATAGCTAAGTGGAGATCATGCTGATGGTCTACAGCAGAAGAAAGCCTGGTTTGGGTGACTAAGCAATCTATTCAGGAAGAAAATTTCCTGGAAGTCATTAGAGAACCACTATGTTTCTCTAAAGCTTTAGCCTGGAATGGGCTAAACAGAAAGCAGACCTAAGATGGCAAGACCTACAGCTGTCTGACACAAGTGTCAGAGCTCATCCAGCCTGTCTCACCAAGAAGTGCTTTGCAGAAAACATTTGCCCCTTCTTTGTCCCCACATCAGCAAGGAATCCCAAACTAAAACCTACAGCTTTCATTCAAGAGGAAGAGGGCAGGTGAAGACATGGGTTGGCTGCTCAATCAGCTGACACCCACTCAGAAGCTGCAGGACAGAGAATGGAGCAGGAGAACTGAAAAGGTGATGGTGATAAACAGGAAAGCAAGATTCACTTTTTATGAAGTAACATTAGAACATGGTGAGAGGTCCTGGCAGAGACAGACATGAGCAATATAACCACTTCCTTCAAATAAAGCATCCTGGTGGAAGGGTTCTTGGTTTTGGTGTTAGGGTGTTGTTTTTTTTTTGGTTTTTAAAGAACTCAGCAATGATTTTCTCTTGGTATTCCAGACTCTTCCCAATTCCACTGGCCACCCCATGCCTTTCCATTCTTAGCACCTAGTCTTAAGATCACTCCTAGTGCCTTCCCTTCCCCCAGCTATGCTCTTCCCTTAAGCTGCTATAGAAGGGCTCACTCCCAGGCTCTACGACCCCAAGGATGCAGTACAGCCTTTTATCAGGAGAAGCAGGGAAGCACAGAGCTTCTGTTAAGTTTCCTTTTTTAAACTGTGCTGGGGAAGTGACTTCCAAAGAACAAAACACTCCATCGCAAAATAAAGACTACTCGAGAGCTTGCCATTAAGGGCACATGGAGATTTTTAGCAGTAACAGGAGTACTTTGGCCAAGGATTTCCAACAGTAGCAATGATACGAGGGTGGCGAACCCACTGCCCAGTGGGTCAGCTCCAGACATTTTGCCTTGGTTTCAACTCTCTGTCCCACAACATGAAGGTCATTGGTAGAGCAGGTAACTCTTGAGGGAGGCTGGCAGTGGCAGGGTAGGGATCTCATTCAGTCTTTCCTTGCCCAGAGCAAGCCTCACAGCTCGCCGACACAAGTCCATCAGAGGCAGTGGTTCAGCTGGAAAAGAGAAGACCCGAGACATTAACATCTCAACCTACAAGCTACGTATTCATTTTGTTAACTCTAAAAATCCGTCCCCCCACAAAAACTGAGCAGGATGAGCAACGCCTGGCCTGTTCACAAAACCCAAGCCATTCAGCATTCACAAATCAGCAGCTTCAGCTCATCAAACATGCAGGCAGAGCATGACATCTCTGTAGAACTGCGTGAAGGAAAAGATACTCAGATTCCCTGAAAAAAGTTTACACTCTGCAATACCATTCATTAAAGTTAGAGCACAAGGTCTAGCTTGTGCCTTCCACTGCAGAATCCAAAAAGCTTTACAAGATTTACTGAAGTAAAAGACTGCAGTTTGATAGCATTGTGTGGTAAAAGTACCCAGGAAGTACTGATGTGTTTTTTACATAATAGGATAACAACTGTCCCCCCTTTCATTTATGCTACATACTTCCCAAGAAGAAAGCAAAACCATATGTCAGAGCTTTATGTCATTACTCGTAGGAAGAAATACCCTGATGGGAAATGCCACAACACATCAAAAATCTGGGAAAAATACAAGCCTTTGTTGGCATCTTATACGCTTATTGAACAAGATGATACTAGTTTTTCAGGCAGGGTATGTGGGGTCCTTCGTTGCTGAACAGTCATTTGTAGCATAAGAGATCGAGGTCAGAGCCAGAGTGAACACATTACAGCTGCACAGAAGGAACGTACAGATTACCAACAGAAGCTGTGAGAAACCAAGTCTGTCCAAGCTCACCTGCACACTGCTCAAGGGGGTGGGGGGTTCTTCCTCCCCCAAGAGACAGCTAAAACAAAGGCATCTCAAGCCAAGTAAGGATGCTCAGCACGCATCATTAGAAAGCTTAGAGACATCTTAGACCAAACACACCTAAAGACTTGCATTTTTGTGGATAAGTTTGGTTGAGAAGCTGCAGTTTTTACAAACTTTGATAGATGCCAACCGGCTTCAGCTTCTACTACAACCCAAATTAATCTGATTGTTCATACAGCTGCTTTAAGCTTTCCTAGTCTCTCTTATTTTCTACACATGATCATGTTACTGTATTTCTTACCAGAAGCCATTCTGTCAATAAGGTGGACACAAATCCCTTCCTTCCAGGCTCAAGGATAATAACTCTAAAAAGCTCAGATAGAAGTGCTGTCAGTAGTCTCTGATTAGACCACTCCTGATTCTACTTTGGAAAAAGTAAACAATCTCACTGCTCCACATTAAAAAACAACAACAAAACATTTCAAATAAGCAACAGAGAAAGCGATTTATCTAGTTTTTGGCAAGAATTCTGAAAAGGAGAACTTGCTTGCTGAAGAGAGACTTGGTAACAGGAGTTGCACTCAAATTGGTCCAACTCCTCTGGTTAGCAGAGAGCTGGACCAATGCCTTATTTCCTTCAGTCAACCCCTGCTAAGTATCACAAACTACCACCTTCTGCAGAGGAAGCTGCAGCACAATGTTTTTGTTTGTTTACAGCAGTTCTCCAGAGTAGCCCTTGTGCTTTGAGCATTATTAATGAGGCATCATGCCTCTGTAAGTACACCTCTTCAGCAGAAATTGGTGGGTGGAGAGCAATCAAACAGATCTGTCAGGGCACTGCTGCTCCTTCCCAAGCCCTACAATTTGTCACCCGTGTTCTGTGCCGAGAGTGGCCCCAGGGCTGCTCAGTGCTTCCTGCAGAGCATAGCTACACTCAGCCCCAGGCACTGCTGCTCTTGCCTGCTCATGACCTACTTCAAGATCCATGCTGCCTCCTTGGCAGGCACAGGTCTCTCTGTACAGCAGGACTACACGTCTCAGTTCTGGCTGTGATACTACCAGAGAAACTTATTACTGGCAACATTCCTTTGGCACTTGCCAGTGTAGCTTACCCTTAAAACCTGTACCCTCTGAAGTACAAATACACCCTATTCCAAATCTGTCCCAGCTCCTCTTGCTCTGTACAGAGATAGTTTGGACAGATATTGTCTAGCCAGAGGACAGTGGCCATAGGGGACAAGGGGTCTGGACTTCCAAAGGCTACAGGCATCAACTTAACAAATAATTCCCATTTAACAGTCTTAAAAGCTGAGAAGATCACCTTCCCACAGAGGTTAAGAAAAAGAACTTTGTCCTCACCTAGTTTGCTCTGATAATCCAGTCTTTGCAAAGATAGACCGGAAGAAAAGGCACACACATATCTGACCTTCTTCCATTCACAAGCACTACAATCACTGGACACAGTGCAGCTATTGAATGCTGAGAAGTGGTTAGAGCCAGACACCTCCTTTCTGCGTGTGCCAAAATAGCGTCCTGTCATTCCTGGCCTTATGCCCATGATTCACTCCTATGCTGAGAGCACATTACAACCAAATCCAATACAGGAGGTGGCTGTTTCCCTATTAAGTGCAGTTCTGCACAGACAGCTCCACAGGCTTGCTGGCTCAGAAAGGAGCTGCAAGTTTTGGATTTGACCCTACCAAAAAACCTGGTTACTGGAGCTGCTGCCATTCTGTAAGCTGCCGTGGCAGGATAAGCTAGGTTCTTTCTTTTTGTTGGTGAGAAAATGCTTTGCCAAGAGCTCTCCGTTCAAAAGATTGCAATTCTCCAGGGTTATTCAGCCTCTCCTGCTCTAAAAGCTCATCCGCTAAAATGCTGATGGAAAGAAGGCTGACTGTAGGAAGGAAAAAAAAATATGGAAAGAATACATCTTTTACTGAGCATTAGGAGAGTTTTTCAACATCCCTACAGTAAGCAAGTGTTTACTTTGACTTCCAGAAGTTCCTTAAAGTAACTTCCTCTGAAGTGTCAGTGAATAGCTATCATACCACTGAATAAGATAAAATAGTTGTTCAGAGCATTTAAGCAGCAGGAGATGCTATATGGCCCTTTTTCCCTGGTCTGACCAGGACGTGTTGCTTTCTAACCACATTAAGACAGGGCACATCAGGTATGCAAGTATCAGTATTGGTGCCTTGTCTGAGTTTTAGCATGTTTCTCAAAGTACCTGTACACCGATGTCCTCACAAGGCTTTTCTGGTTAGTCTGGTGCCCAGTTTTCTGGTGCCCAGTGCCACTTGGCTGCACCTCATGTCACCAGCACTAGGAGCTTGCCACTGCTGGCCCAGCATTAGAACAAATACATTCTGAGCACAAATAAAAGCCAAGTGTGCCACAGCCTTTGGACAGGCGCTGTTCTGAAACGCAAGGGAATCTCTACCTTTTTTATTATCAATTTACCACCTGATTTTTATTTCAGTAACAACCATCCAGATTTTCATCCACTTCCTTCACATCTCTTCTCCATCCTATCCAGAGGATCCTATCCAGAGACACAATCTGGCCCAATGGAAACCTTTATGAGAGATAAGACTTCAGCACACGTCGGCAGCCAAACCTATTACTAAGCTTAGCAAGGGATTGATGTTACTATTACTAAAAGACCTAGCATGCAAGTCGGCCTGGCTACAACATCCAGCCCCCACACTAGAAATGAGAACAGCCTGCCACGAAAGAGGCAAGCTACTTTCTTCAAAGATGAGACATTCCCACTTCCTCAGACAGGGACCAAATCTTCCCACTCCTTCCTGCAGGGAATTTTCAAAGTCCTTCCGTAAGGAATTACCAGAATTGTCCCTCAGAGACTGCTCCCTGTAAAGAAGCACCAGGAGTACATTGTAAACATTGCAACTGTCATCAGGAATGTCCTTTTCTTGACATTTTGGTAGCAGTATAAAAGGCTTGTCAGTCCAGATAAACAACTGGCATTACCCTCTCTCATTATACTGCTTTCCTGAATTTCACTTGCTCCCTGCAATGCATTAGTAGCAGCACATGTTACCTACTCAGACAAGCTCTATTTCAATTGCCATTAAGTATTTGGAAATTAAATCCTACTGCTGACATGAAATGCTCATCTCTTCCACAAAAGTGAAAACCCTCAGCGGTGTAGTAAACTTGCACGTAAGCAGCACACAGATTTGGGCTGATAGAACGAATACAGAGATTATACTCACGGTCAAGTCCGTTCAAGTAGCGCATCCTTATTTCACAGTGTCCCCACACTGCGCTTACCACTGGATACAGCTTTTTCCCTTTAAGTCCCCGAAAGGCAACACCCATATATTGCCCATCTACAATGAAACTCAGTGTCCCATCATCCATGTCCAGAACCACCAGGAAGGAATCCGGCACAATGAAAGTTTCATCTGGTTCTAGGAAGGCAGGATAGGTTTTACTCGGCTGGTTCTTGCCATCGTGGTACAGTCTGTTACGCCCAAGGTCCCATCCCCACGATTCATGGTTATTTCCTACAAGTGTGGTGTACCCTACAGAATGCAAAGGGGCATCTGCTGTTGCCACCCCTACCACAGCATGTGTGCCTCGCTGCCGCATTGCCCACGTTATCTGCCACACATGCAGTCCTCGTGTGTATCCCACTTTGCCTCTGATAGCGTCTGTGCTCTGAGCCACCGGATGCCGGTGAAATATGAGTTTATCGTCCTCCTTCACAAATACATTCAGCGAGCGATCATCATTGTTCCATGAATGCAATAACTGGACTTCATAGGATACAGGAGGCATGTCCAGTAGCAAGTCCAGACGCGTGGGTTTGCTGTAGTCAAGTCTGTGGAGCTCCTGCTTCAACGGTCTGTACACCGGGTCCCTCATATCCACAGTCTTTATCCCACCTGTGACCTTTTGACCCATTGTGGGTTCCAATTTTGCCTACTTAGAGGCTCCCAAGGCAAGCTCATCAATTCACCCAGCTGCTTCTGCTTTCATTCAGCTCTACAGAAAACGTTGCTCGGAGACCTTGTCAAGATGTCCACTAGTCAGTATTGCCTAATGGATGGAAAGAAAAACAAGAGACAAGTTAAACACTGCCACACAGCCTTGCATGCAACATTTACAGAGCACAGTATCGACCTGTTTATCAATCCATCCTTCCTTTCCACCAGCGAAGGTAACGCATACCACCTAAGCACTGCACCCTGCAAAGTAGAGACAGAAATGAAATAGGCACTGTGCTAAGTCACTAATGTCCTCTTCAGAAAAGCACTTCAATTCCTCCTCCCTAGTCTAAAGGAGGTATGGATTCAGCTACTGGAGCTCATCTTCTTCCAGTGAATGCACTGCTCCTTACTACCACACTATTAAACTTCAAGAACTCATCTATGGTCAGACTGTACAGCTGTCCCTAGTTTTACATCATTATCCAAGCTGGAGAATTTGAGCAAAGGATTTCTCCTCTAACAGAAGACTGAGAGCAGTAATGCCTGAGATTACAGCACTCCTGGACTGTCTTTGCTTTTCTACCAGCTCTTCCTACAACAAGGACAGGCTGAGCACAACCTCTCAGTGAAGCACCAGACTGCCCACTGATGTTATTTATTCCACCTCCTTCCAACCCCCTTAGAGAAATCCTCCAAGCTAAGGCTCCACAAAGGAGCAAAAAGTCACGAGGCATTTAATACCCAGAAAAAGAATCCAAACAGCTTCAGTAAATTTCTAGAATATACATCTGAGTTTAGTGTTTTTGGGCCCCGTAGTAACCTGCTAGAGCTGACCAGTACAAGGGACTGGTTTATACAGAAAACTACTCTGCAGAGCTTTGATCTGAGCCATTCCTAGCAGCAAAAAGTTTTCTGCAGCTTTAGTGCTGGAACTGGCCTTCAGGAGAAAGCAAGTCATTCACAATACAGTTTCCATTACAGGAAAAGGAAAGCAGGCTGCATTTCAGGATGGATACATTCACATTCCAACTCAAGAAGAGGATCACAGTTAAGGTTTGCAAGTAGAACAGGCATTGCAAACAATCTTGGTTCCTACAGTGTTTTTTTCAGGTCCAAAATAACTTATTCACATAACACACAGGATCAGCACTTGGCATTCTCCTAGCAGGTACTCCAGTGCTTCCAGATCTGACAGATGCCTGGGCTTTTCTGGCTAACATTCGTAAATGAAAGTTCTTGTGGAACCCCTACAATGCAAGCATCCCCAAAAGTTAAGGCTACATACCCCAGACATGCAAACACAGGGATTGCCAGGCAGGGTTATCCAGCCATAAATAGCTTTTATTCCTCCCTCAGCAATCAAACAGTTCCAAAAGGTAAATAAAAACAGCACTGAACACAAACCATCTCACCAGAACAGTGATCAAACAAGGCAGGAGCTGGGCAATAAAATGAGAGTTTATCCTCTTGAAGAATTACAAACCTTCCCTGGATCAGCTGACCAAACAGCCATGGATACAGGGTGGAGGAGAGTTCTCCTTAGCCCCACTCCAGCTTTGCAAAGTACCTTGAAGGCCTGACTGTGCAAGTATAAAACAGCAGATAAAACCTGCTGAATCCAGCCTCAGGCAACACCCATTTCAGCAACTGTTGACTCCACTGGACTGCTGTAGTGCTAAGAGCAGTTACACCTCCATGTGGCCCATCTCAAGCAAGCAGCTTCAGCTCCTCTTCTCCAGGAGAAAAATAAAAATAAAAATCACAGCCTGAGATGCAGAGTGCAGAGGGAGGCACAAGATTCTTCTCACAGTTTAGCAGTTTTCCTTCCAGATTTCAGAGAACCCTCTAAAGAGCTGAAGCCAGCTTGCCTGCCTAGCTCACTTCTCGTGCCTCTACTGTAGCACTGCAACCACTGGAGTGGCTCTGCTCTCGCTCAGCAACACAAACAACCCTCTGTCAGGCAGCTGCCAAACTGGGGGCAGCTATTAGGAGAATTAAAAGTGGGAGGGGAGCGAACTAGCTTTCTAAGAAAAAAAGTGTTATTTTAACATTTCCTGAAGTGAGGCAATCACTCGGGGCCGCTGCCAGCTACAGTCACAACACTTACTCACAACCAGGATCTCATCTGGCATAGAAAATAGAGCATGAATCAGGTCTGGTTTAAAAATAAGGTTACTGGACATAAGCAGCAAGGCTTCAGCTTGAAGGTAACAGGGAAGGTTTACGTATGCCCTAGGTTAGGGATCAATTCATCAGCCTCCCTACAGCCTCTTACTGCAATTTGGGGGATGCTGTGGGAACAGCACGCTCAAATCTGGTAATTCTTAAAAAGAAAGAAGATTCCTCTTCCTTTCCTTGTTCCTTTATCATTCATGAAGTGCAAAAAGGAAAAATCCTTGATATCCTTTAGAAGTGTCACCCCAACAAACATTACTAAGCTGTAATATAGCTGATTGCAAACTATTCATGGACTTCAGGCGCAATGGCACTGATGGGACAGTCCTCACTGTCCTGTCTTTAAGTCCACATGTTTGTATGAGCTCAAATCCTCAGTTTTACACCTCAAAGCTGACACCAAATCCATTATAAGGCTTCTGAAATCGCTGCTGGGAGTTCTCCCTTTCCAAAGAGATGCACATTAATGCTGACTGGATGCTACGGTTATTAAAAAGTTTCAGTGCAACTAATTTGCTTAGGCTGGGAGAAAAACCATCAGGCTGCTGCAAATGACTGATGTGTTGTTCTGCAGAAAGAACCAGAAGAACTATCTGGCATTCCCAAGGCCTATGGCACATGGACAAAGGCTGTCAACAAGGTGTTGGCTACAGCACACTTGGAAGCCTACAGGCAAGTTCAGCTGTTGGAACATTGATTAGGATAAAGGAACAAAACATTGGCAGGAGGAGAAGAGGCAGAGGTTTCCTGAGAGCTGTACAGTACATGTGAAAACACTGTATAGGAAGCAACAACCAAAACAAAGCAGGCTGCCAGACTGCAGGAGTATTGCTGCAGACTATTTTGAAGTGTAATGCTCAAGAGAAGTAACAGAATATAATTCAGTACTCTCCATTAGCAAAACAATGCTTCATTCATTATGATTTATTTTGCCTCCTGCTAACATAAGCTTTTATCATATTTTTCTCAAGGCTGCTGTACCTCAAAGGGAATCACCACAGTTAAAGACAACACAGACAACTGAAACACACTTGGTAGAATATGCCTCACTGCTTGCTGCAAGAAAGCACCCTTTCCTGAACTCAAGCATTCATCACTTGCCTTAGTTATGACTCTTTCCCCAAATAACCTAATAACACAAGATGGACTGTAGCTAGAAAAAAGAGAAATAAAGGGGGAAAGAGATTGCAACAAAGAGGTCAGCTAGACTGAGCAGATCAGATACTGAGCATATGCCAAAATTCAGGTGCAACACAGCTCCTAATTAGGGCAAGACAGCCACGTCTGTTCAGAGCTGGTTCCGCTGTCCTGGCACTAACCTGGCCTACAACTGCAGGACAGACAGATGCTGACCTTCCTAACTAATGGATTAATGCTCTGGTTATCTTGACATGAGATACAGCCAGCCGTAAATGAAAGGATACATTAGGGATCCAGCTACTCCAAAACTTCTGAACACTAGAGGTTTAAGTACAAATGCAAACACAGAGCACTTTTATCTACCACATCAACAGCTCAGGCTCTCTGGAATTCTGCTCTGCTTTATAAATATATGCCCATTCCCATGGCACTATTTTATTCCCATGCTATTTTCAGTTCTTCTGTAAGCCTTCTAGACTTAAAAAGCTTTGGAATAATTACAAAAGGGTCCCAGAGCAAAGCATTCACTATTCATTTCAGGGAGTTAGGCATCTCCTCAGTTTAGCTATTGACAGCAAGATGATCTGCTGTACTATAAAGACATCCTAAGCTTCAGAGCATCTGCTTACCAGAAACAGATCAAGGTAGGAGATTAACCATTTCAATTGAAAATGTCAGAGTCCTTGCAGCTCAATGGGAAAGACATGGCTTTTTGCAGAGCTTTGTAAAGAAAAGAACACGCACGGTAGTCAGTGCAGAGCTGGTTTCCAACTTTTTCTGTTTAGCAATCTGCACGAATCAGGCCACGTGTTTACCTACTACAGACATCTCCAAACCGAGGCAGTCATTTCACTTCACCAAAATGTTGTGTACAATAAAGCAGAAACATCCTCTATTGTGCCCATGGCCCCTTAAGCTGATGGTCAAATGCAACCAAGAACCCAATCATGCTGACGCCATGCAGACAGCAGCCTTTGATATCCACAACAGGAGATTGTTTCCTGGTATCAAATCAACCTCAGTTGCTTCCTGAATGTCACCCGGATCCCATGGGGAAAATCTCAAGACATGATTTCACATAGCTAGATTAAAAAAAGCCATCCACACTCAAAACATTGCTTAACATTTCAAGTCAATTCACTTCATTCCTATCTATGTCAGCACTCAAACTCATTCACCTCATCTAAGCACACAACAAACGCAATCTAGGCTATCAATGCACTGTGTGTAAGCCAAAGAACACTCGCCCGAGCTGCCCTCACTGTTTCATCTGAAGCCACGAGACTGTTCCCCTGTAAGTCCTATCACATAGTAGGAGGCTATCTCAGGTATCTGTATCGCCAAGTGACACAGGAATTTCAACAAGGTAGTGTGCATATTTTCATATTTGAAAGCAGCTTAGCAGCAAAAGCCCTTGAAGTCCCAGTCACACATCCCCAGTATTTGTACCAGCCATTCCAAAACTCACTGTCACTGCTGGTTCCATTAAGAACCCCTGAGCAGACGTTTCCATTTAGCATGGATGTTCACAACTCAAAACCCAAAAGAGCATTCAGAGTTCCAGAAGTAGCCCAACCAAAACAATGAAAAGCAAAAAACACTTTGTGGAAAGCTCACGCTGATGTTTAAGCACCTGTGAGGCACTCAATCGGCCACTGAAAACAGATGTTTTCATTAGGTCAAGTATTGGCAAGCCATTCTCACTCAGTTACAAACTTCACTAGAAAGAAAGACCAGAAGCACTTCAGACAGCAACAAAAGTCTGGTAACAGTGCAAAAATCTCAGCCCTGCTC